CATTTTCTAGGACCATTTTGTTTTATTTTTTACCTTTTGGGGACAGAGTCTTGCAATGCAGTTTAGGCTAGCCTTGAGCTTACTTTGTAGCCCAGGCTCATCTCAAACTTGCAAAAATCTTACTGCCTCAGCCTCCTGAGTGCTGGGATGACAGGCATGTGCCACAATGCCCAGCTCCTTGGGTTATTTTGATCACAGCTCTGTACATTACTGACCCATTTTCTCTGAACCATGCAAAGGTTTAGTCTACTAATAGGTGTGAGGAAAAGCAAATAATCCTCATCCATTTGTACTTAAAGAGAACAAGACTAGCTGCAATACATGATATGCAAATGAGAACACATGGTCTAAACACTCAGCATACAATATTAACCGAATAAATCCATTTGTTTGACTTTTAATGAATATCTTGTTTTGAATTAAATTACTGTTTAATATAAATCCTTGCAGTAGGAACTTCAACTCTAAGTCACCAGAATAGTTAAAAAGACTTAAGACAAACTACAGAACACAGGGGCTGGAGATTTAGCTCAGTGACATAAGCGCCTGCCTTGCAAGCAGGCAGTCATGAGTTCGATCCCCGGTACGGATAAAAATGAAAAAGACCAAAACAAAACAAAACAACAACAAAAAAAAAACCTACAGGACACAGGAGTGAAACCCAGAAGCAAAGCAATCATTGTCATTTTGTTATTTACACATTGAAAAACAAATCCTGCTGTAATTTTAAAGATAGTGTTCATATATAAATAAATATATATATATGTATATGTGTGTGTCTATATATAGAGAGAGAGAGACAGAGAGACAGAGAGGAGAGGGAAAGAGGGGTGGGGAGAGAGAGACTTAAAACAGGGTCTGCATAGTGCAGGCTGGCCTCAAACTAGTGGCAATCCTCCTGTCTCATTCTTCTGATTATTGGGATTACAGGCATGTGCCCGGCAAGCATTTATAATTTAACCTTATAAGACTTTTCCTTTATTTTATGCCTAGCAGATTTTTACTACATTGAATTTTGACAAGACAACTGACAGTCTACTATATATTCAAATAATGCAGTAACATAATAATCCCACACTGATTTCTCCCCTGGAGCGTCCTTGGATGTTTGTTTACTTCCTTTTAAATAGATTCCTTCTCTATGCTCTGATGGAATAGATATCGATCGATTTGTATACCTAGAAGGTAAACTCCATACCTTCTTTCATGAGTTTTCTGGCTTTTTCTATCTCTAAATCATACAGTACCAAAATCAGTGTAAATCTTTTTCAGCTATTTTTTTTTTTTTTTTTTTGTATCAGGGATTGAACTCATGACCTCACACTTGCCAGGCAGGAGCTTATGTCACTGAACTAAATTCCCAGCCCTAGTATAAATCTTTTTAATGAATTAGCCATGAGTGAAATTTCTTTCATTTCTTGTGAATTGCCCTAAAAACCATCCATAGAAAATTCTCTTCAGTTTGTTAGGGGAATACACACACAAATATAAAACATATTGACTCTGTTTCCAATAACACACATGTGTGTGTGCACATGGTCACTCGCACACACACACCTAGCTGGCCTGTAACACTTCTCCTTACCTGAGATGGTTACACTAGTATGTTAAAAGAATCAATAATGTAAATTACAAGTATGCCTACTTTTTGCTTACTTTGTTTTAGTACCTTTGACTCTGGTCTACCTCTTACCCTTTATAATCTCTCTCTCTCTCTCTCTCTCTCACTCTCTCTCTCTCTCTCTTATTTTTTGGTCTTTTTGAGACAAGGTCTCACTACTAGTTCAGCCTGGACTTGAGATCATTTGCAGCTCCGGCTGGTCTTGAACTCACAACCATCCTTCTGCCTCAGCCTCCCAAGTGTTGGGATTATAAGCAAGCACCACCATGCCCGGTTTATAATTTCTTGTGAATTGCCCTAAAAACCAGCCATAGAAAAATGTGTGTATATAAGATTTTTATTTTGGCACCAGGAGTTGAACTCATGCCCTCTTGCTCACCAGGCAGGTGCTGTGCCACTGAGCTACATCCCTGGCAACTTAATCTCTTCAGCACACATATTAATAACAGACTTCATGACTAGAATGATCCAATCTGTTACCAGAAACCATCTCCTTCTAGCCAACTTTTTATTTGTGTACATTTTGGAAAGTCATTGCTGGATCTTCTCATTCTCCCCTGGGTACTCTGCTTTTGGTAATTATACTAGAAAAAAAATCTTGAATATACGCTCCACATTTGATCCAAATGTGTTATCTACCTGTGTATTGTTAAATTCTTAGGCAGGAATCATAGATGTTAAGTTTAAAATGAAGAGTTGCAGGCTAAACGTTATAATGAAAACTCTACCTTTTAGTTCATTCTTCAAGAAATGTTCTAACAACAAAATGCAAACAACCTTCCTAATGTATGGCTCTGTAAGGATTCAGGAGCAACTCATATAATGTTTATCTTAATGGGAGGAGAAATCATGTCTTCATCATTTTATCTTTTAAATTGCTTTCCCTAGTTAAAATAAATACCAGTGCATATTTAAAAATGTAATAATAAATTAAAATCAATTTCATTTGATCCTATATTCTTCTTTCCATGTATGTTTGTGGTTTTTACCTCCTTGGTTAAAAATTTACGACAATGACTAAATTCTAAGATATGTGCTTTCATATTTGTAGATAGAAAACATATTTATATCAGAACCTAAGTGAAGACTTAGGAAATGCTATCAGATGGGATGGACGCTTGGTGGTTGTTGATGTAGGAAAGTGTCTTGACATGATAGTTCTCATTTTGCTTTTCTGCTTTGGACTGATATAACAATACTTGATAAGTAATCTGTAAGAGTAATCTTCTCTTAGGGCAGAGAAATAACAACATGGGAAACAGTTTTTTCCCCAATCTTATGTTTCTAAGCTATTTGAAAAAAAAAATTGAACAAACACATTGAAGATGAGAAGTATATAAAGATGGGACTAGATCTGGAATTTATAAGTGATTTACATGTCCTATTCACTAGTCTATGTGTGATCTAAATTACAAATTAAACACTTAAATTTTTTTAATTGTATCAAGTTCTCTGTGTAAATGTAAAATGAAATTGTATCCAGAAAGGAAAGAAAAAAATTACAAAGAAACTTTGAAGCCCAGTCTTCTGTCAAGTCTTTTTTTTTTTTTTTTTTTTTTTTTTTTTTTGTCTTTTTCCTTTTTATCGGTACCAGGGATTGAACTCACGACTGTCTGCTTGCAAGGCAGGCACTTATGCCGCTGAGCTAAATCCCCAGCTCAAGTCTTATTTTTTCAAATGTCTTGTGGCATTGTTTATCAGTTGCTAGTTTTAAGAACTGAAACTTTCAGTGTTAATGTTTAAGTGCTAGCAAAATAAAAGACCACATTCTCAAGTCAAATAAATAACATGTAATTAGTATCAAAATTTAATTTTTCTATTGGCTAAATCTTTTGTTACTTAAATTTTCAAAGCAAAATATACTGAATACTGATTAAAACTGTAGAATCTTGGTGGAAAGAATATGAACAAAGACCACCTGTAAGTCATTAAATTTTAGGAAAATTTAGTAAACATAAGTAAATGGAGGGCTATGGGAGCATACCAACAAGCAGAGTGATGAAATATTTGACTTCCAAATCCAACTTTTAAAACCCAAGATGTTTTAAATTAATTGGTAACAAATGCCAGAAGGACCTTTCTCACTAGCCAACTTTCATTCCTGAAATTAAATTTTAATCAAAACCTCTTACAAATTTATAAAAGTTTGAAGTTCTCTTTAAAATAACACCTATCTTAATGAATTTTATCACACTACTTGATTATTAAGGCAACAAAAGGCTTTCTACAGTCCAATAATAGCCAATTAATATAATGAAAATTACTGTGCGAAGCACGGGTGACCCAAATTCTTTTTTAGACCAGCAATTCTTACCTTTGACACAGAATTCTTCATTGTGTTTCCATTAAATATAGTTCATAAATGCTGTAAGCTATGGATTATATGAACTGTGGTCATTGATCATACATCTGTCTACCACTGGGATATACCTTAAAATATCCTCTAGCGTACTCTACATAGTTAGAACCTTGTGTAACCATGGAGGAAAGACTTACTACAACTGTGTTGTATGAATGCATGAAATCAGTGAAAAGGATCAACTTCACAGTCTGCTGGTTTCTGCTGAAGGTGATTAAATAGCTAAAGGGATCACTGATAGGCTCATTAGATAACTACCAATAGTTATCTAAGTTTACATGACATTAGTATTCAGGGCTGCCAGGGACATAAGTTGGAAAGATGGAAAAGTGCTATTTCAGAGGTTAGCAACCTGCGGGCCTCCTGAGTGGAACATCAGATTGAATAGTATATTTTTCCTTGGCGTTCATAAGAATTCAGAACATGCCTGACACAGTTATAGTATTGACCTCACAGGTTCTGTAGTCTACCATAAAAAACTAGTGCAACATGGAAAACAATTAAAAACCTGGGGACAGGATGTCATTCATAGTCATATTATGCTTATAAAGTATGGACTTGGTCATTTAATTCGAACAGAAAGTCAGTATTTAAAATAGATATATATGTAGCAAATGAAGCTCGAAATCTAATTGTGCTACTTTGATTTGTAGGCAGTGAGGTAAGGAAGCTGATGACGCTGTTTTTTGCCATGGTCTCATAGCAAGTGGCACCAGATCTTATTATGGGATTTCCCTAAAGTCTGCCAAACATCAGCGGTGAATCATAGGAAGGACAGAGGCCTGAATGTTTATAACACATCCCGAATCTTCAAAATTTAAGTAGTGCACTTGAGAGTCAGTTTCTGACAGCCAGCGGACTGCAGTTGTAACCGTTATTGATTGTATCTCTATTCTGTAGGGAAGAACCAACGTGTCTTTCGGTTCCTAAGCCTTCTAGGGTTTCAGACATAAATAGCATTGTCAAATTGAACAAGAAGCGAACTACGCATTGGCCCAGGAGGGTTCGCAGCCATCGTACCTCGTTCTCCCTTTTGACACTTCTTCCTCTGCACTGTACACTTCCTCGTCTCGCTCGTGGGAGGGCACAGGTTTCCCTTCGCTGAAGGGTGTTGGATTATTTCTCGGACCCGAGTTTCAGTTCCTCTTTTGAAGCCACACGTTTTGCCCTTCTTCATGCACGGGCTCCACGGACTCCACTCACTGGTCTCGCAGTGCACTGAAACAGAAACAGAATGGCAGGCACGGAATTAGTTGGTTTGCGGGGGAAGGAAAGGCTAGCGCAGGCTCTGAGCTAAGTCCTGCAGAAACTGCCAGACAGGGAGACTGTTTACATCATATAAATGTATCAATTTACTTCATTTCAAACAAAATATATCAAGAAATAGAAACATATGATGACTTAAACATGTAAGAGTAAACACTTAAAAACTAAATATATGTTTATTAAGTTTAGGTGATAAATCAGAGTGTGGGTAAGATAATAAAATATAGTAATGTTTAAGTAACTGTAGGAGTAATGCTGTAATTTTATCCTGCAAATCATATTTCTTATAAAATGGTAACTTTGCAGAAATCCCAATGACAAAAAGGGTGATGGGTGTTATATCAGGCTATTCGTGGACAGTATGGAACTGGGGCACTCCTTTGTTAAGGTGAAATGGTTAAGACAAAACAGAACTCCTCCACATGGGTTATTTTTCCTGTTCGCTGTATTAAGAACAATATTAAGCCTAGAAATCTTTAGTTATCGACTAGTGTTGTGACTGTGTTACTGGGGATGCCTTTCAATGTCAAACTCTTATTTTGCTGTAATTCTTGCTGACCTACTGCATGTTTTCACAGGAAAAATGGCAAGGTATGCTTCTCTCTCCTTGGAATTTAGAGTGGATGACTTCCCTTGGGGACCACCCAAGCCACTCCCTTCTCCAAAAGGAGATAGAGGAGGACAGAGTGACAGCTAGGCAGAAAGTAAGTATCTTCAGCACAAAGGAGGAAGAATACTTCCTCCTGCAAAACTGGGCTTGGCATCTGTTTATTTATGCTTCTGGGGCCTGAACACATGGGGAGGAGCTCAGTCAGGACCTCAGTCTTTCACAGCTGCTTCAGAACAGAGCAGTATTGTCTCTGTTTATTGTCTTTCTGCTCAATGGGAAATCTAAGCAGGAAGCGAGAGATGAGGTGTTTTGAGCTTAGCATGGAGAAAGACACACTCAGTGACTGGCCCGCGGGTAGCCAAGCACGGGTACTAAGAACGCCAGGGCTAGCTTGCAACGTGTCCTTGGGGCCAACAGTTCAGCTCCCTTTGTCTCAGTTTTCTTCTTTATTAAAGGAATAGACTTTCATATTCCTGTGTACAGTGAAGCAGGTCATCATTTTCCTAATTCTGGGACAATCTGGGAAACACCCTGACACAGCAACGATGGCAAAACTTTCAGAGACCAAGTATCCAAACCAAAACCTTATTTAGAGCAAAGTGCCACCTCTGCCTCTGGGTGCTGCTATTGATGCTCAGCTGCTGGGTGACACAAGGGTGACTTGGCTCACGTGCCAACAGCATGCTCTGTGCACCCATGTCACTTGTGCTGTAGGCCTGCCACCAGTTAAGGTGCAAAACATAAACAAAAAAGCTGGCCCTGGAACAAAAAGTTCCAATTCATACAACTAGTGTGCCATTTGCGCCTGCTAAATATGCCAGGGTTAATTAAATGGCCTTTAGACAATGCTGACTTTAAAATACATAAATTACTTAAATCTTTTAAAGAAACAGTCTTAGTTTTACTGATATGAAATTAAGTTTTAAAGACTAACCCAAAGTACCAAATATGTAATACTGTGACACTTAGTACAAATGGCACACGTTCGATACCTTAGAAACTTTAAATATATGACCTTTTACTAGATAAAGAAATCCCATTACTTTCAGTGATCTGTCCTGAATTTTTGTGCTTGCCTATTCCACAGAAGTGTTCTGCATTGTTTGGAACTTATTACCTCTAATCACCAGCCCTGGGGACCTATGAAGAGAGGAACTCAAAGCGCTTCCTTGTGTACCTTTTACTTGCTTCCTGAGTTGTTTTTCTGTGTTTTTATTGACCAGACATGAAAAGATTTAACCAAAGTCATTATGAACTGATTCAAGATCGTTTCCCAGCTATTTCTAAGGGCGTCTTTAAAGTATTATGTATTTATTTAATTCCACTACCTAAACTGTTTACAAATAGGCTTTCTGTGTTGGCTTGGGAATGGTTAAACCACCACTCTGGAGTCTTCACCCCAGCACTTGAGCTCCTACTGGCTCTGCTGGGCCCCGAGGGGCAGTACTGGAGACTATCTCCTACAGACTGGGGAGTCCTGTGTGTGCCCAGCAGGGGCAGCATCAAAGGCTCCTGCCGTTCTTGCCCAGGGGCCTTGGGGTTTTCCTATGCTGTTTTCCCCTTTGGTACAACATCTGCTCCCCAAGTGTTTGCCACCTCCTGCTCTAGTAGCTGCACAATACATAAAAGAAGGAAAATACAGCCCGACAGTGATCTGTTATTTAGCTAGGCTCTGCCGGGAGGGCTTCCACTCCTGGAAAACTCAGTTTCCAAGTAATCAGACCCACAGGCCTTCTCATTCTGTCAGTTTGGGTAAATCCGAAATCTTCTCTTCCTTATTCCCAAATACCTGGGTAGCAGTGGTGCTGTAGGCTGCGTCCCAGGACGCTCGTCCCTTTGTCCTCAGAAAACAGCTTTAGTTGCTGGCTGAAGTTAGACCTAGTTGTTCCATGAAACTCTTACCCCAGAGCAGACTATGTAACACACACTGTTACAAAAGCAGAGCTTCTTTGAGTAACACTACACAATAAACCTAGAGGAACCAGAATAGTGGAAACAGTTCTCAGAGCACTAAGCAATAGTGGAGCACCCACAAGGTAGTAAGCTATACTGCGATATATGCTGGAGAAGAGTCTCTAAGATGCGGTCTTTGCCAAAAGAGAGAGAGAGGCCTTTTGAGCTCTCCGGAGACCACACCAGCAGGCCCACCCTGCTCCTAATCTCAGGCTCTCACCAATGCTGATGCACTCCATGGTGTGGTTATTGGCTTCCAGCCCTTCCGGGCAGTTGTCAAGGCACTTTCCAAGGTGCAAGTAAAATCCACTTTTACACTTTGTGCAGAAATTTTTATTGAAGCAGGTATCACAGTCAGCTTTACATTCTGAAAGGAAAGGCAGGAGAAACATGCTTTCGTTATCTGCTAACCGCCATTGAACCAGTTTTCACACATGTGCAGCTTTTGTGTCAAGTACAAACTTGGGCTTCAAAGTTATTTTGCTGAACTTAATTAAGGAGTCTCCCGGTCATTTAGAGGATGTATGTCAGGTGTTGTCATCAAAGTCATGGCACTGGCTGCTTGATGAAAAAATTTTGGTCATGCAACTTAAATGTCCCTTTTTCAAACATCTAAAATACAAAATGCTCTGAAATCTGAAACATTTGGAGCATGGCTTTATTCTGCAGAAGTTTCAGAGTGGGGGTGCTCAGATTTGAGATGTTCAACCAGTAAAATCTATGCAAATATTCCTAAAACTTAAAAAAATCACTGGCTAAAGATGAGATACCTTACCAGTATTATACAATCAGAAATGGTTATAATACCAAGTCACCATTTATGTTAAATGATCTTGTTGGTGTCCCAATAGAATATTAATAAAATAACTGGGATGCTCTCTTGTGCTATTCCTTGGGACCATTTATTCACTCAACTTTCATCTAATTACCCACTAAATGTCAGGTATTATTTTTGTACAGATTAATAGGAGCACAGAAAAGATGCATCCTAAAACTCAAATTCAAGGAGACATAATAAACAATAGTAATAGCTCATCTTTATATAGTAAACACTGCAAACCAGGACTATTACAAGTGTGCATACTCTTAAATTACTTCAACTTTATAAGAATCCAAGAAAGGAGCCCTGCTATGGTTCTCATTTTACTGACAAATGACCAAGACTTGAAATGGTTATGTAACCGGCCAAGAACCACAAAAAGCAGCAGGATTTTTGAAGCCCAGGCAGTTTGGTTCCAGAGTAAGGAGGGCTCTGGAAAACAACAGAAATTGTAGGAAGAAGGGAAGGGAAGGGGCTGATAAAAGGAGGAGGCTGATTAACTTGGTAAGAAGTTCCTGGAGTGCTTCCCCAAGGAGGAGAGACAAGCGGACTCCAGAATGGCCAGGCACAGGCATGGGCAGAGCTCCCAGCTGTTGCAGGCACCCACGGAGAACGGCAGTTGGCCAGGGCCGCGTTGGAGGCCTCTGAGAGGGGCCCGCAAGACCCTATACAGTGGCAGAAAGGAGGATGATGGGTTTGGAGAGAAGAGCCCAGCAGCATGTGATGTTTGCACAGCAGAGTGAGATTTCCTAATTTACAGTTTCAAAAGGTCACTTCATCTTCAGCATGGAGAGCAGGCATTCAGGGCCCAGATGACAGTGCTTGCTTCCAACGTTTATTTCTAACTGATAAGATAAACGCTTCAGCTGCCATGCTGGAGCCTTTCTGGAAGCCAATGAGCTCAAGTGACTTTGAGTTATAAAATACTTGAATTGTGGGACAATGCCAGGTCCTTCGATGGGACTGACGCTAGCAGGATCTCTCTGTGGCTTCAGTGAGCAATATCCATGCCTCAGCTTTAACTTTTACAACACAAAGCAAAAAAATCAACTGCTATCCCAGCACTCAGCAGGCCGAGGATCACGGAGTTTGAGATCGGCCTGGGCTACAAAGTGAGCCCGAGGCCAGCCTAAACTTCATGGTGAGACTGGGTCTCAAAAACCAAGTAAAATAAAATAGAATACAAAACAAAACAAAACTTAAGTGCTTTATTTATTTATTTTTTGTCAGTCACAGTAGCAGTTAACTATTTTCCTGTCCCAATGGCTGGCTAAGTCTAGTACAGTTTAACCCTATTATCAGATCAGCATCATTGTGTGCCCAACATTGAATATCACTAATATTTTAGAGGCCATGTCCATCTGGAAAAGTCCCCAGGAATGAGATAAAAGCCCAGGGTTGTGGAGGCACTTACTTGTACACTTATTTATATCTGGGTATCGAGTTCCATAGTATCCACTTGGACACGAAGAGAGACACACTCCTATCTGCTTCATGCCAATTCTCTCCAGAACAAAAAATAGTCGTGGCTTACACGACAAACATCCATTGTAATCAGAACACGTCGCACAGCCTCCTTGACAGCCTTGGCTGACGTTGGGGTGCACTGGGGAGACAGAAACGAAAGTTAAACCCTAGACATGAAATTTAAAGTCTTGTGCACAGTGTAAGTTTGTTTTGTTAGCTTTCAACCTGATAACCAGGCGCCCATGAGGTGAGATATTTTTTCACACATATTTTGAAATCTGGTAATTTCCCTCACCAGTACCCATGGTATTTTAATTTGAAAGTTCATAGACTTTATGCTTGGAAAAATTAAAAATATATTTGGCTCAAATGATTTACAAAGGTTATATGTAAGCTATTCTTCTTGAGTTAGCTCCTTGGAAAATAGGAGACTGGTGATTCTGTGCTGATTTACACCTTGCAAACAACACATATGAGTTTGGTTTTTTATTTTTGTAGTAGATGATAAGCACATGTCTCAGATTTCTTCACCAAGTGTAGTAATACACACCAAAACTTAGCTGGAATGAGAATGGTAATTTCTAGAATATTATTTTCAATGATGGCTTATTAGTGAACACAATTTTATCCTTTAATCCAATGCAAATTAATTCTGAAACTATGTTCTCTACTCGTCACCCATCACTGCTTTCCTGAAATGTTTCTTCTCACTTGGACTTAATAATTAGCAGGTCAGATTGATGCACTGGTGAAAATATGACTTTTCTTACCCATATTTCCATATGGAAAATAAGCGAGCACTTACAGTATTTTACATTCAATATTTTGTCCTTTGGGAGGGAATTCTTAGTTTCAGTGTTCTCGCTATTTACCTAAGTGAAATGCACACTTGCAGAGTCAGCCTGCACTGTTACACGTACTCTCAGGTTGCCAGGAGTCTCTGATGCATGAGATAAGTGTGTTCAGGAAGGGGCCGGGGACACAGCTCAGTGGCTCAGTGTCCGCCTGGCAAGTGTGAGGTCCTGAGTTTGATTCCCAGTACTCACAAAGGGAAAAAACAGTGTTCACGAGCCATTATAAATAAAATAAACATCAGGAAGATTTATGTTCTCGAAGCCATGTTACCCCCTATGACTATTCATGATGACCGGAGCTGCTAGCTGACGGGTGTATCACATAGCTGGCATTTGGGATGATTCTCTCGCCTACGTAGTCTCTATTTAAACTGTATTGACCTTTAAGGATGCCAGAAAGAAAAAGTCATCCCAGCACATTTTCAGCATCTTTGCTTGGTGGCAGAAGAGCTAGGGTCTGGGAGCCCTTGCCATGATTAAACCCATCTTCATGGAGATGTTGGGTTAGTACCAAGCACTTTATTCCATGAACAAGTTCCTTAGTCAGGAGTCCCCGAAAGACCAAAGAGCCTTGCTTTGGGGTGCATGGGTTAACTGTGGAGAGATCACTCTGCTGACCAGTCCTCGGCCTGTAGGAAACCATCCCAGAATCAGCCACAGGAACCACAAGCAGCTCATTCTCATGCCAAGATGTTTTGTAAATAAACTCAGGAAAGCAGGAGGGGGTCCGCTTTTCCCTTACACACTCTCCTGTGGGTGGAGCTGGTCAGATAACATGGCAGGGAGGGTTAGATGTTATAGGGCCTGGGGGATCTGTGAGTGGAAACAGCTTTCGAGTCAGTGGGTCCTTTCTCATGCACTAACTGAGCACTGGAGAGGTAAAGAAATGTGTGCTTATTTTCAACAGGGAAACAGCCAAAGAGGAAAAGGATCAAGAGAAATCTGTGTTCTGAATCAGAATCAGTCTCAAGAAGTGAGATATATAAACATAAAAGGGAAAAACTGCTGTGAAAGCTTTTTGAGAGAATTGTCCATGAAAAAGGGGACTTTAGTTATAAAGCAAGTAGCTGGGCAGCCCACTTTGCAGGTCCCTTTCTGTCCCTCTTACACAGAATCTTTCTTTGTCTCAATAACTTCTTCTTGCTCTTAAAATAAAATAAAATAAAATAAAATAAGACAGTAGCCCTAATTTCAGGTGCTAAATGACTCTGGGTTCAGTGAAGATGGGTCAGATTGTTTCACACCATCTTCCCTGTCTCTGAAATGTGACTGCCCAAAGGATACACAGTTATAATTTTATGCACCAGAAAAATCTAAACATGATTTACATATTTGGATTGATCCTCACACACTGGCACTCCTTAAAATGAGTTGCATTTTAAAGACTGAGTTTTAGGCTGGGTGTGGTGGTGCATGCCTATAATTGCAGCACTTGGGAGGCTGAGACAGGAGGATTGCAAGTTCAAGGCCAGGCTGGGTTACATGAGTTCAAGCCCAGACTGAACTACCAGCAAGACCCTGTCTCAAAACAAAAGAAAGGAAGAAAGAAAAATTGAGTTTTAGACATCGGTAGTCTTCTGTAAGAGAACTGTATATGGGTCTCATGCCTGGTAGCAGTTTCCACTGAGATTATTATATATTTTTTTCTTTTCATACTGGGGATCAAACTCACGACTGCGTGCTTGCAAGGCAGGCACTTATGCCGCTGAGCTAAATCCCCAGCCCCCTAGTTTCCACTGAAATTACATGATGTGACAAAAATACCATGCCCAATTCTGTATTTTTAAAGTTTTATGGGTGAAATGTAACACAGTCAACCTTGTACTCCAATAATTTGTTTGCTTTTTTCATAATTTGCCTTTACAAAGAATTTTGATAACAATTTGAAAAATCAAGAAAGGTCCAGTTGTTTGAATCTGCAAACTTTTGTTTATTATTTTTAATAGTGAAATTTTAATAAGTGCAGTGAATTTTGAACATAAAATGATGGCAAACTTCATTTCTTTAAAACCATGTAAGCTCTAGGATATGAGCAAAATTGAGACTGTGAAGCTCCAATTTTATGATTCTAGATTTTATGGATGAATATTGTAGTAACTTTTTTTGAATGCTGTAGAAAGATCACACAAATTATGCAGTTGGTATTATACAACTAGATACAAATTTCCCAAATTTCATCTTAAGGCAAGAACTTTTACTTTTCATTGGAAACCACAACAAACTTTGGTCTGGATTGCCTCTAAGAAGTCTTTCAGCCATAAAATCTTGTGATTCTAAGTCAAAAATAGAATGATTTTGTTGTGTTTCTTTCTCTTTTCCTATTCTAATAATAACTTCAGGGGCTGGGGATTTAGCTCAGTGGCATAAGTACCTGCCTTGCAAGCAGGCAGTCGTGAGTTCGATCCCTGGTACCGATGAAAAGGAAGAAGACAAAAAATAAATAAATAAATAAAATAACTTCATTTTGAATTTCCAAATCACTCTTTTTTTTCAGAGTATGTTTCTACTGTTATTTTAAATGAGCATTTGGGTGGTAGAGATATAAAGAAAGTTTCATAAATAATGTTTCAACTTAATCTCAGAAGATTAGTTGGAATTTATCAGTGCATGTATGAGGAAAAACCACAATTATCCAAATGGAGGAGATTTGCGTGAATTTAATCCAATATTGGAAGCACAGGGTAGATGTAGATTATGGAACACTTTGTGGGATGTGCCAAGGAAATTATCTGTAGAAATGAGGAGTGAAAAAAAAAAAGAAATGGGGAGGGAGTGTGCCAGTCCAGTGAGCACTATTTCTGTTAGAAAATGCAACCCAAGAACTCAAGAGGCTGAGACAAGAGGATTTCAAGTTTAAGGCCGGCTAGCGTGCACAGTGAGTACAAGGTTGGCCTTGACTGTGTAGTGAGATGTTGTCCCAAAAAACCAAACAGACACTTCTAAGAGTATTCCCCTGGAAGCATGGCAGAAAGAAAGGTAGGAGAAAAGTAATATAGTGCTCGGAGAGGCTGATGGTAACGTAAGACATAGCTGAGACCATACAATGGGGTGAAGAAGGAGGGAAGCATGTTCCAAAGATATTTAGGAAGTAGAATCTACCAAATATGAAAAGGGGATTTGAGTAGGCGTGTGGCTAATTCTTGCCAATGAGTTGAGAAAGGAGAGGAGCTACTAGCGGGGTAAGAGCTTAAGGGACACAATGGATGGGGTTAAGTTCTCCCAGGGCAAACCTGGCTGACCGTGTTGGGCGAACTTCACTTTGGGGGGGTTGTTGGAGTGGTTACATGACTAAAGAAGGCATTTTGAATGGAAAAAACACTGTGAATGAATGGAAGATACAGGAGCTGGTCAAATACAGGATACTTGGTAAGACAAAAATTATTATGAGCATGTTTAATGATACTTTAATTTTCTATCACTTCTGCTTTCAAGGCATGTGTGTTATACGAAGATATTATGGTGAATGTGCTAAATGTAAGTATAAGTTGTTATAATTGTTTGTTTAAAATCTCACACTGGGAATCAAAAATAATGCTGTAAATTAATGAACAAATAGCAAGTTTAGATCAAAATTTAAAATTCTTATCTTTGACATCTAGAGCAAATAAGGTAGCTATAGAAGGAAAGACTATGGAAACGATATAGAGTTTTAAATTTCAGACTAATTTAAGATTTTTAAGCACCTCATTCTTACTTTACTTGTCAACTGTATGTGTATTAAGAGTATGGGGCCTGGTATATAGCTCAGCAGCACAGAGCCTGACTGTCAAGCACAAGGTCTTGAGTTTGATTTTCAGTACCAAAATAAAATAAAATAAAATAGCATTTGTTAATGGATAACTTAAAACCCATTTGCAAGTCAGGCCTGATAATGTGCATCTATAATCCCAGAACTCTGGGAGGGAAAAGCTGGAGATTCTCAAGTTTAAGTTCAGGCTGAGGAAAGAGAGAGACTGTCACACAGAAGAAAAGAGTAGTGTTTGCAGAGCCAAGTCATTGACTGGTATTTCTCAGTTGTTAAATTACTTTTCCCACTGCCTCTCCTTGACAGCCTTCGACACATGACCTACAGCTGACATAACAGTTTTAAGAAACTTACTATTGTCATGAAGGTTAATTCAGCTTTGACAAAACATCAAGAAAATAGAATTTTAAACAATACCATAGCACTTGGTAAATAGGACATTTAGCTATTTCCATTGTTTATAAAATACTGAACCAGTTACAGTTTTGAAAACTAAGGGCTTGGGGATATAGCTCAGCAGCATAAGCACCTGCCTGGTAA